GGATTTTATTTTTCTTTCTCACTTATTCAGTCTTTTCATCTCGGTCGATTTTCATCATCTACGATTGTGACTTCTATGGATCCTACCAGTTTTTCAGTTTTTAAGATCTACGGCACGAGCACTTTCTACACTCGAGATCTTCGGCCTTTCGGAAGGGACCAGTGGGACTTACCCGGCAGGAAGCAGTCCCTCAGTGGTCCGGCCTCCACTATCTCCAGTCGCGGCGAGAGTATATGTAACCGGCGCAGGACCGGTCACAGTCGGCTGAGTCAACTCGCGCTGCCCGCTTTTTGGATTTCTTCCGCCCACTGCCTCGCCCTTTGCGTATGCGAATCTGCAAGTCACATCAAGCAAGTTAGCCAGACGGTCGGAGGACAGGTCGTTTTTCATCGCCTATTTTAGCGAAGCGGCCCCACCCACCCTTGATATTCCCGCGGTGTGTGGGTTTGCGGCCCAACTCTATGACTCCCTTCTGAGTGATCTGACATGATCTATGGTTCATTCATTTTTCATTTTATCTGGAGCAGGCCTGGACAATAGCTTCAGTACTCTCACGACCTGCGCCTTCCAGGCCTTGGTTTCCCGCAACATTCATTCTGAACGCGAACCTGCGCGCATGCCACACAAGGGTCAGGTCTTTTCAGAGGTCAAGTCCTTTCTTTCGCCTTGATTTGGTGAGGGGATTCCCATGACTGTTCCAAATAAAATAGAATAAGGTGGAGCCGAAGATGATGCCAGATCTCATGAGTCAGGAAGATGGGCTGCAGGCCCGCACACCGTGGGAAAATCGAGGGCGGGTGGGGCCGCTTCGCCAAAAGGCGAGGAGAATCGACTCACACTCCGAAGGACCTGACCCCTTGTGTGCCTGCGCAGGTTCGCATATGCGATGAGTGCTGCAGGCGGACGCAACCTGGAGGGCGCAGCACGAGAGCAAACGCAAGCTGTGGTGACAGGCCAGAGCCCTGTCACTTATACTATGTCTGGCCAAGGCATTGGGACCACTCCGGTTGGCGAGACCATTCTTCAACCTGGGTGAGTGTCACGCTTCCCGCTGGGACTCCATAGGACTAAAAATGGTCCTCCGTAGATGTTGCGAAATTGGCTGAATGTTGTTGATCGTGAAAAAATAACCTGAAGTCCGAAAATAAATTCTTGTAGAGTCATAGATTGTGGAATTGCATGGTTGAGATCGCATCGGATTCAGATGCCCAGAACTTGAACCAACCAGAGGTGCCAACCGGAAAACCGAGCGGTTGGGTCCGAAATTGTTGCTGCAAACCCCTTGAATTATCAGGCCCCCTCTTGACTTGGCACGTTGCTTCCCAGGACTGTTTCAAATAAAATAAAATAAGGTGGAGCCGAAGATGATGCCAGATCTCATGAGAGTGAGTCAGGAAGATGGGCCGCAGACCCGCACACCTCCTAATCTGCCCCACATCTCTCCATTGTCTCGCAAGTGACTCCGTCTTCTTGCAGGGAATGGTGGAATGAGCGAATGAGTGATGGAGGTTTGAGGTAGAAGCGAGCAACTCCCGCGGTTGAAGGAACATACACAGGAGGTCTTAAATGGAGTAGTGCCATAATCAGTGAGTTTGGAGCTGCAAGGCGCTGGAAGAATGGAATGAAGAAGATGTTGCTTGCCTTAAATGAATGGCTTAAACGTAATGAAGTTGGAAGAAGTTGCATGAGCTGCTGCGATCTTCACATCTTGTCGTTCCTGAGTGGTCAATGGTTGGTTGAAATCGAGAGTCGATGCTGAACTTCAGACGCAGAGGGTCTTCCGATGGTGTTACCTTCCACAGTTGATGCCGTGGTAAACTACTTGAGTGGGTGTTTCCGGCTGTTAGGCAGAGAGGGAAAGAATGATCCATGCCAGAGCAGTAGGGTGGAAGTGTTAAGGAGATCGTATCGGGATTATAGTTTACAGAGAGGCGTAATTGAGGAATTCGCTCGTCCAATGCAATGGGAGAAACTGAAAGTAGTGATGAAGTATATACGAGAAAAAGTAAAGGTTATGACGGGTTATACAGAGGTACAGGCTTATGGAGATGGTGGTGCCTTTCTTTATTTGTGGGAGAGTTGGCAGCGATATGGGGAGGGGTTGAGGCTTCGGAATAAGGAGATTGACATTGAGCGAGGGGTTGTGCGTCCTGGGTACACAAAGACCGACCGGCAAGGCGGAAGGTTTATGATACGGTTGCGAGATCAAAGAAGTGAATAGGAGACGTTCCCGGGATGGTTGCCAGAGATGATGACTAGTCATAAGCGAGTGGGCCAGGATTTACAAAGTGGTTATCTGTTCCGACCAGTGCGCGGGGATGAACCAATGAGTGGGGGGGGGTTTAATAAGCGGATAGAAAAGTGGTTTGAAGCAGCTTGGGTGTTTTAGGGGGAGAGTGGTCATAGTTTTCGGATAGGTGGGGTGCAAGCGGGAATAGAGGAAGGTTGAAGTTTGGGAGAGATGATGCAATAGGGCACGTGGAGTCAGGTGAGTACCTTTATGCGTTATGGGTATGAGATGAAGCGGGGGTGGAAGCGGAAGAGTGAGGGGCAGTTAAGGGAGGATGAACATTGTCGCCAAGCCAAGGACTGCAGGGTTGGGGACGAGACGGTTGACGCGGGGGCAGGGGAGGCAGGAGAAAGGGGAGGTGGCGATAGTGAATCGATCAGTAATATTGAGTTCGAAAATACGGGGATACCAGGAAGCCTTCTTGGAGTCGGGTAAGATGAGGAGGTAAGGAGCAGGGCTAGCACTTATCTTAGAGAGTACCTGATGAAGGAGCACTGTAGCAGGAAAGACATATCTGTAGGGGAGAGAAGGTAGTGAATTCCAATCAAGAGAGAGGGCGTCGATAAGGGAAGCTTTGACTGACCAGTCTCTTGAGATAAAAGTGGGGCAGACATGGTGGAAATCAGATGCGAAGAGGTCTATAATTGGTAATCCAAGTTTTGCGAAGATGGGGCGCTTGATGTGATTGGCAAGACCGCAATCTGTATTATCCTCTGTTTTGGAGAGTGAATCAACGTCTAAATTGAGGAATCATGGAATCCAAATTGGGTACAAGAGCGCATCAAAGGAAATTAGAAAAGAGGCTATATCCCTTAGCCAGAGGTTGAAATCCTGATGAGTAGATTTCATCTTGGAGAGGAGGTGTGAGGTGGCTTGACTGTTCGTATGAAGTCTGATAGAGGCAGAATGAAGAAGATGAGGATAAGAGGTGGCAAGAAATATAAAGGTTTCAAGGATTACAAAGAGTTCTCTGTGAGTGGAAAAAGATTGAAGAAGGTGAGGTGGAAGACATTGGTTTAGAAAGAGTGTTTCCGCGTTGATGGGGTGGATGATTGCTGCAATTTGGAGAGCAAGGCATCAGTGAAAATTGAAAGTGTTGGGGGGCGGACGGTCCAGAGTCTCCCTGGGAGGTGTGGTAGATGAATAACCCACCAGAGAAGGTCGTTGACGAGGTCGGAGGAAATCGTTACTAGAGAATCCCAGTTAGATGAAGAGATGGTGTCATATAGCGAGGAGAGATACAAAAGGGTGGGGAGGAAGACTCTCACAAGTGATGCTAACTTAGCGGCGAGTTTGGCAAAAGTTCTTCTAGAGTTGATGGAATTGGAGTCCTGAATAAGGTTGAGAATCTTAGTTACCTTGTTCTCGGGCACCTTAATGCGTTTGTTGTAAGAATCTATGATGAAGCCCAAGAAACGAATAGATTGAGAGGGCAGGAAAGAACATTTATGAAGGCTAACGAAAAAAACAAGGTTGTGTAGGAGGGCATCATAATTGAAGGTTTGCCAGATGAGAGTTGGCATGTTAGTGTGACCAAGCGCTGAGTCGTCAATATATGAGGCAATATGGACCTTGCGGAGGCGTATTTCTGCCATTACCTCCTGCATGATTGTTGTGAAGATCCAGCATACCGATAAGATGCCGAAGAAGAGAGTTGTAAATTGGTAGGTGGTGCCGTTCCATTGGAAAGCTAGGTAGGGACGAAAAAGTGGGTGGACAGGGATGTGATAGTAGTCGTTCTTTATGTCGAAGCAGGTGAGGAAGTCTTGCGTAGGTGAACCGGATAGGTGTGCGGTTAGGTCGTCGATTGTTTCGTAGTGAAAATTTGGGAAGGTGACAAACAAGTTGACAAAGCGTACGTCGAGAATGAATCTTGTCTAAGATGAACTCTCAATTGCGAATACAGGGTTAATAACGATAGGATTGAGAAAAGGTATTATGAACTTTGAAGAAAGTAGTTGAGTTATAGTTGAGGAGATGAAGTCACGGTGATGAGGTGGGTTGCTATGGTTAGGGATACGGAGTGGAGGGGGTGAGGTGCGGCGCAAAGCTTTTTTGAAAGAAGAGGCAGCGAGTACCTTCCTTACCATCCGGCGGACCTCTATCATCTTTGAGGTTGGGATATGCGATGTACCTTTAAACTTAAGTCGAACACCGTGCAGGATCCATTGGAGAACAAAATGGGAAAACCTTCTAGAGTTGGGGGAGAGAAGGAGAGATCAGTTATAAAAGTGGTGAGATGTTGAGGCTACAAAGAAGTTATCAGGGCTGCGGAGCCAAGAGGCGGGTTCCTGAAGAGCGAAAAGAGCCAAGCGGAGATCCTAAGAAGAATGGGTGGTTAAGAGATTGCTAAGAATCGTTGGGATGGAGAGAATCGGGAAGGGGGAATTAGGTTCCTGATCAGGCAGAGTTATTGGGTGTGGTATGAGCTGGTTATGTTGGTCAGTGAAAGCGTTCTTGGAAACGCGGAAGTAGTCATAGCCTCGGTCCTTGTCATCCTCGTAATGACGCTTGGAGGAGTATGACTTTTTGTGATCATCAGACTTGGAATGCTCCTCCTTCTTACGATAAGAGGATGAGTCAGCTTCGGATATTCCCAACCTGCATAGAACAGAGAGAGGAAGATAAGTCCTTGTACGCAAATGGCGTGGACTTATTTCGAGTCCAGGGCGATAAATTTGATGAATCGGGGCGACAGCCCCTTACTTACCTGTGAGCTTCCCTGCGGACGATGCTCATGCAGTAGTTGAACTCGGAGTTGATTAGCGGAAGTGCCTTGTCCATGCCTTCTCTCATGATCTTGGACAGTTGGGACTTCATTTCCTTGGTGATGCGGGAATCAAGGCAATCCTTGGCGACGGGGGCAACTCTTGAACCGAAATCACAGGCCACAGATTTCCCGATAGGATAATAAGAGTAGTTCATGCTGACTGCCAGGAAACGGATGTTGGCTTCGATCAGGGAATGATAACAAGCAGATACAAATAGCTTCTTCCAGGTGGATAATTCTTCGTATGTCGGTTGCGACTTTCTGTTTAGCTTGCCCAGAATACCATCCATTTCCGAATGGATCTTCTGGTACATCTGAGCGAGTGTCTGATTCTCTTCGTTGCGCTGAAGCAACTGCTACTGGAGTTTATGAATGGATAAGCGATTTTCTTCCTCCTTGAGGAGTAACTAGTGCTTGAGTTGCCCGAAGGCTTCAATAGTGACTGGTGCAGGACACTTAGATAAGGAGGAGCCTGGTTCCGAAGAGTTGAGAAGGGGTGGGGGAGTAAATGTGATAAGGGGGGGTTGCGGGGGAGGGAAAGGGATCAGGTTCTTCATCTTGATTGTGAGAGCATGAACTCTGTATAATTAATCAGAATTTTCAGATTGAATAGTGAAGAGGAGATCGGAGATGTCGTGGGCGAGGGGGTTCAGGCGATCGATGATCTTGGCTGGCGAGAAGGCAGGGGGAAGTACAGGAAGGACACTGTAAATCTCTGCTCCGATGACAGACTGGGGGCCCAAAGCACCTAGGAACGTTTTCAACCAGGGATCCATCTGCACAGTAAAACATTTAAAATTAAAATCCGGTTGTGAAATGGATGAGGAGTAAGAAATATTATTAAGATTTAGATTATGGTTATGATCAGGGTTGCTGGCGTTCGGGACGGCCCGAACGCCCGAACCCGAATGCTCGAACGTACGGGACCCCTTTGGAAGGCGTTCGGTCGTTCAGGCCGAACGCGGAAAAAAATAAAAAATAAAAATAAAAAATAAAAATAAAAAATAAAAAAACATTCAAAAAATTCCGAAAAACAAATACGTTATGGAAAAACATAAACTAAACAACATTTGCCTCGGCATTGCATCCAAATTCTTTACCACATTTGAATTAAAAATCAAATATAAAAAATAAATATTATGATAAAAATAAAAAAAAATAAAAAGAGAATTAAAATGAGTGAGTGTGCCAGCACCTTTTCGACACTGCCATCTGTGTAGTATCGTGTTTGGGTTCGGTGACCGAACCCGAACATTCGGGACCGAATGCGAACGAGCGCCGAAACTCTCCGAACGCGAACATAAAAATATTTAAAAAAAAAAACAAAAAAACAAGTTCTCCAAAAAATCGGAAACAAATATATGTTATGTAAAATAATAATACAAACAACTTTTGCTCTGGAGGTATGGTCAAATTCGTAACCAAACTCGAGTTAAAAATCAAAAACCAAAAAAATGTTTTTTTTTTTTTTTTTTTTTTTAATATGTTCGGTGGAACACGTTCGGGTGGTGTTCGGCCGAACACCTGAACATGTTCGGACGTTCGGAAAAGCTCCAAACATGTTTGGTGTGCTACACAGACCGCCATCTTTGGCGATTTTTAATTATGTTTTGGGCCTTTTGGCATTGACAAATGCCCCGAAAATTTACATATATGTAGTTTACATAATCAATAACTCATTAAATATTTTTCAAAAAATAATAAAATTGTTTAGGCCCCGAAATAAAGTGAAAACAAAAAGTTAAAAGTGAAAAAAAAAAAAAATAGTGAGAGGGCGAGCACATTTTGACATCCCCATCTTTGAAGATTTTTAATGTTTTTTGGGCTTAGCAGAATGGCGTCAAAATTTATAGGCGTGTAGGTTACATCATAGAGAACTCACAAAAAAACATTCAGAAAAAAAAACTTATTTTTAGGCTCCAAAATAATTTTTGGCAGGGGCCGAACCTGGAGGTGTTCGGCCCCCGAACGGGACCCCGAACGCCCGAACGTTCGGGGGCCAGCCCGGGGGCCCCCGAACGTTCGGTCAGGTAACCCTGGTTATGATGGTGAAGTCCTGAACTTCGTTAAAATTGAATAAGCTTTATTAACAAGTTCCTTTCTCCTTTTGCAAAGAATGGGTAATGATAATCTCCTTCCTGGTCTGTTGTAGTGATTCTTCCTAGCTCCCTTGTTTCTTCTTCCACCTTCTTTGTTCCTTGTTCGTTTTCTCTACCTCTCCTTCCTCCTTATTTACTTCCCTTTTTTTTTATATATTAAATGAGTTCTATAGATGCCTTGATGCTCTCATGTATTAACTCCTTCGTTAATGTTCTTCCCTTTATCCTTTGCATTCCCGGCTTCTTGCTTGCTTACTCTTCTTCTACCCTCCTTTATTGCTTCCTCTTCCCTTTCTTCCGTGTGCACATACTAGCTCTCTCCTTGCTGTTCTCCCTTCTTCATTACCTTTTCTTCTTCTTATTCTGCTTCTCCTTCTTTTTTTTCCTTTCCCTTTTTCTCTTCCCCCTTTCTTCTTTCTCTTTCCTCCTTTTCTTTCCCCCCTCTTCCTTCTTCTACCTTTTTTTTTTTTTTTTTTTTTTTTTGAGGATTGTGTTGGTGCGTTGATCGATCTTGCTTTCTTGGTTCCGTTGACATGTGATTCCTGGTGTTGTTGCTTCGTTGGTTCGTTGAATGATCCTTCCTTCTTGGGTCCGAACGAGTGCTGATGGTTTGTCCTTCCTTTGTCTTGCTGTTGCGCTTGACCCCCGTCACATTTGTTTATCTCATTATTCATCCATCTTTAGTGCCCGACGGGGCTATAATCGTAGTGTAGACCCTCCTTCTGTTCCTTCCTTTGTTTCTGTCTTACTCTTGTTCCATTCTTTGCTTGTGACCTTTGTGATCTCATCCTTTTCCTTCCCCCCTTTCCCTTTTTTCTTCTTTCCCTTTTTTTTTTTTTTTACTGTCATTCCTTGTCTGTTCATCTTGCAATTGTTCCTCGATCCTTCTCCTTGTGCTTTGTAGTATGCGTGACACCCTTCCTCGTTTGCTCTCTCTACCTTGTAACAACTCCCTTGCTTCTCCCCCTTGATCCTTCGTCCATCGTTCTTCTATCCTTCCCCATTAAGGTTAGTTTTTTCCCTTCCTTTCCTTCTGCTCCGCCTCTGTGCGCCTGCTCTCTCTTGCTTTCCTCTATTTTCGTTTCTTCTTGCCCTCCACATCCTCCTCCCTACTTTCTTCTTTCCTTCACCTTTACGTTTTTTTCTTTTTTTTTTTTTTTTCTTTTTTTTTTTAAGAAAAAGGTCCTTGATCCGAGGAAAGATGATGACTATGATGAGGAAAAGAGGTGCGAAGAAGAAAAAAACTAGTATCGATAGGATTGATAGAAAAAATCTGAAGGTGAAGAATGTTCTAGGAAGAGACTTGATGAAAAGAGTTATTAGTTTGAAAAGGGCTGCGAGACGTAAGAGTGTTTAGGTGTTAATGAGTTGATCTAATATAAAATCCATTGTGATCTGCAAATGACAAGACGACATAAATGCGGAAGTAAAGGGTAACAGAATCAGTGGATGAGTTATTCAAAAAGGAGCATGCCTGCTGTGGCAAAGGATGGTTTGTGTTGTTCTAATTACTATCGTTCTTCATATGCCTTATTGAGCTTGCTGTCAAGCTTCTTCCCTTCTTATGCCCTTACTGCTTTCTCTTCTACCTCTCCACCTTGCCATTCTCTTTGTCTCCCTTCCTTCGCCTCTTTTTTTTTTTTTTTTTTTTTTTTAATCCTCGTTTGACTCTTCATAGTGAGTATGGTGCATGTGAGGGTAAGATGAAGGTAAGAAAGATATGCTAGCAAATAGAAAATTGTATATATATTCCCCCCTCCATTTCTCTCCCTCCTTTTTTTTTTTTTTTTTTTTTTTCAACGATACGAGCATAGCGCGTAATCGGGCAACGTTTTTTTGAGAAAAAAGTGGACGGAGGTAGTAGATCTTCTAGAACTGCCATGTGGTAACTGCTAGTGAGAAAAGTGGATAAAGTTCCCGTCCCTTTTTTTTTTTTTTTTTTTTTAGAATTGTCACGTGACAATTTATTTGGGGGATGATCTCAGTAATAGTTGTATGCACATTTCTTGCTCGTTGTTTCCCTTCTCCCTCACTTCCTTCCCGCTGAGCAAAGATAGCTGAGGGGGAAGCGAGAGAGAACCAAATGATGATAGGAATGGAGAAAAGGTCTCTTTTCTCTTGCGCCGGTAGACCGTAATTGGTGATTGCAAAATAGAGAATTGCAAACTGACCGATCTAGGTTCTAGATTAAGTATGGCGATCTGGAGCGAGTGATTGCATTGGTTGATTGGTTGATCATCCGAGATAACTGCTATAGTTCCTATCTTTTTTTTTTTTTTTTTTTTTTTTGGGACTGGCACGTGTAAACTTATTTGGGACATGATCTCGGTAATAGTTGTATGCATATTTCTTGCTCGTTGTTTTCCTTCTCCCGTACTGCCTTGCTGCTGAGCAAAGGTAACTGAGGGAGGTGCGAGAGGGAAGCAAGAGATAGTCTTTCCTCTTTCGCCGACAGTCTGTAAAAGGTGATTGCCAAATGGAGGATTGCAAACTGACCGATCTAGGTTTAGATTGAGTCTGGTGGTCTTAGAGCGAGTGATTGCCTTGGTTGATTGGCTGATCGTCAGAGATAACCTTGATAACTCGTTCGAAGATGAGTGGACAGGTATGAGTGGTCATGTGGATGGTAATATAAGAATGTCATCGTTCATTGCATATGGCGATAATCTCTTGTGAATTATTGATTAGATGTTGGTTGTCAAACCGTTCGAGATGGAAGGCAGTGGCCATATTGGATGTTAAGTATGATCCTCTTCCTCCCCTTCCTTTCCTCTGCACATATCCTCCCTGTAATCGCCCATTTCCTTTCCCATTTCCTTTCCTTTTTTTTTTTCTTTTTTTTTTGCGTGGTTGACATTATTTTAGCGCAATAATAACAAAAAAAATTAAGTGGGTAGTCCGTAAAGAATATGGTCGCCATGAGTGATCATTATAGGAATACCATCCTTTCTCTCTTGATGCATTCTAAAAACTGATGGCGATGATCCTTTCCCTCTGAGTAGACTTGGTTGACAAGTTATGACAAACCTTTGATGCGGATATTAGTGTCTGCGTTAGATGTTTATCATGTTCGGTGATATTGATGCAAAGATGAGTGGACATGTGTGATTGAGCATCTCATATAAGATATGGCCGCATGTGATTGGTCAGATAAGAATATCTTTGCTGCTTCGAAAATGCAATTGATTGCCTGATGACGATAACCCTTCATTTCATCGCAGATTAGGCGTTGGTTGAGCA